TTCGGACTGTTGTCCTCATCTTCGTTGCCATATTCACGACGTTTCGGCCGTTTTACGTTCGAGCCATCGTCAGGAGTCATTAGTTCATTAATTTCAAAAATATACAATATTGTCCTCAATGACAAAGGCTCAGTGGTTGAATCAATGACTTGATCTAAAACCGTTGTGAGTTCCTTACCTGGTAAGAGCAGCCGTCTACGCTGATCAAAATCTCTGATAAAAACACCTTGCTGCTTGATGGAGTCAATTGCGTTTTATTGACATTATTAATAAAATAACACCCTATTCATTTTAAATTAAAAAGAGCACTAGCACAGCGACACATGGTACCGATGTCTCTAGTTATGCACTTTTACTATACGGTAATTCGATGCGATGATGTACATGATAGAAATTATTATGAGCTACATTGAGTCTGATTTGCAATCTCTTTGTCAATGAGGCCCATTGAACAGTTGGTATAATGTTTGCTTGACAACCTAACTGTCAGGGTTTCAATTCTCTCGTAGTGGATGTGCACTGTGGATGTGCACCGTTGATGAGTCCAAATATAGGACGAAACGGCCGTCCAGTCTTTCTGCATTCTGTTGAGGTTTCTTCTAGATTCGATGAATTACTTAATTATCTCAAATCCTCCTTACTTTCTATCATTTGTATCTCTTGTTTGAACCGGCTAATACAATGCTCTGGATGGAGCGGCTTGGTGATGGTAGTCGTAGCTCTCCAGAGGCACAGTTTTATGGTAAAGAACTTGGATGGAGTTTCCACGGAATATGTGAACGAGCGGCAATATCGAGTCTAGTTCGTTACCTCTTCGTCACCAAATCCGTAGTTCAGTTGGTATGACGTTTGCCCGTCAATGTAACTGTCCGGATTTCACTTCTCGGTTAGTGGATGCGCACTGCTGATGAGTCCTAAATATGAAGAAACGGCCGTCAGTGCTTTCTGCATTCTGTTGAGGATTCTATCAGACTGATGAATTAATTAAATATAATTATCAAATCCTCCTAATAATTTACTATCTCTGTATATCATCGCTTGAACCGGCTTCTAATGCTCTAGAGTGAGCGGCTTGTGAGAGTAGCGTGGCTCCAGTTCTATGGTGACAGAGACCTCAGTAGGGTTCCACCACGGAATATGTGAGCGAGCGACGCTATGTTGAGTCTGATTTGCAATCTCATCGTCACCGAGGCCCGATGGAAACAGTTCGTCTGATGTTTGCTTGACAACCTAATCTGGGTCGGGTTTCAATTCTCGGTGCGCACTGCTGATGAGTCCCAAATGTAGGACGAAACGGCCATCCTGTGCTTTCTGCATTCTATTGAGGTTTTTTTCAGACTCGATGAATACTTATATATATATATATATATACATACATAGCATGGAAATGCTTAATCGATATTGTTAATGATTTTACAAACAGAATGCATCGAAAATCATGAAGAAGGGAATTGTCAGTGGTCAGGAATTAATGCAAGCAATTTTAATAAAATAGGGTTATTATATCTATAATGGAAATGCATTGCTTATAATCCTACTATATGAAATGCATTGGAAATCACCAAAGTGGATTGTCAGTGGTCAGGAATTAATACAAGAGTAACTGACTCTACAGGTCTATTATATGTTTAAAGAAAGTACATTTCTAAAGATTTTACTATAGGCATGTATTAAGGATCAGGAAGAAGGTGATTGTGATCGGGAATTAATGCATGTGTTACTGACGGAACAAGGCCATTGTTTGTATAATGTAAATGCATTTCTGTTGATTTTTTTTTACTGGATAAATGTTTAAACGAGTGCAAAATGACTGTCGATCTTCAGATATAAAAGTTAAGTGCGGTGACAGAATAAGGTTAATCTTAATTATTTCGGAGTTGCGGAAAGCAAAAAAAAAATCTTTAATTTATTACCTGCTTTCAAAGATGTCATTCCTTTTCTTAGCGGCAGTAAAACTAGCCTCTCGATTCTTACAGCTACGCCATTTTTGCAATTGTAAATAAGGCTCAAATTTCAGTATTCAATGCCTTGATCAGCCGCGGAATAAATTCGATCTTCTCACGGACTTAAGTTATTAAAATCTGATCCTTGTAAGATGATCACCGAAATATTTGTTCTTCTCCGCAGTTTTATTATTCCCCTCCCCGGGCGTTCGCTGTTATCTATTACTCATATTATTAAACTGTTTCAAGTCATTTGCATTTTTTATACATTCTTACAACAAAGCGTGTATATTATGCCCATATCACATGACAGTGAATAAACCATATTATTATTATTATTATTATTATTAATGTTTTTATTATTAATATTAATATTATCATTATTAACATTATTATTATTATTATTATTATTATTATTATTATTATTAATATTATTATTATTATTAGTATTATTATTATTATTATCATTATTAATATTATTATTATTATTATTATTATTAATATTATTAATAATATTATTATTATTAATATTAATATTATTATTAATATTATTATTATTATTAATATTATTATTATTAATATTATTATTATTATTATTATTATTATTATTATTATTATTATTTTGGTGTCGACGATTGACGCTGTCGGTGGTAATTCTTTTCGTGAAGCATGGAATTAACATGTCTCCTAACAATGCAATAACTTTTCCGAGAATTATACCAGATTAAATGTGGCAATTTTTCGGAAGATCTAAAATCTTGGTCTCAATTCCAATATTCCTTAAGCGCTCTTTCTGATTCGCGTTCTAAGCGAATTTATTACCATAAGGTTTAATTTCAGCATTCATAGTCCAAAAAATGTGTCAATTTCAAATCTTTTCATTTGTACCCTCTCACTTCTTTAAATAATGATCCTCATTTATACTTATGACTATCATTGCAATATCATAAGCTCAACGAGGCAACAGAGGAAATTCCACGAATAGCTCCACGGGTATCTTCACGGCTATTTTGGAGACGTATAACTAGAAAGAAACTTATTCAATCATTAATTTAGGAATTATGATTCATTCAAAAATTCAAATAACAAAACTGAGAACTTTCCATCGTTACTTTTAGTTATTTTTTATTAGTTTGCCAAAAATACATTTTTTATACGGACATGTTCACAATAGATTATTCCATTTATGCATTTAAATCTTACTAGAATTATTATTTTATTTCCTTTGATTTCTCGTGTGTACTCATTTCTTTCCAGGTCCCGACCAGAGACCTAAGGTCAGAAATGGCATCATGACATTTTCCACTGAGCATTTTTTGAGGGAGCCCCCCACCCCACAAAAAAACCCCCTAAGATCACCTATTTTACATAGATAAAGGCCTTCGTAAGGTGTGGGGTATACTTGTGAGTAGTTTTTTAAAAAATTCTTTCAGGCCTGGGCTAGCAGGAATCACTTCAATGAGCCTATTGGAATCTTTTCCAATCAATCCGAGACCTCAAAAGCGGAGTTGTTGATGTCCTCATGTGCAAAATTTTTGAGATTTCCATTTCAAGGTCCTTATATTTTGATTGAAGATCTTCAAACATATATTACAGTCTGCTGGGACACTCATGTCAATAAGTAGATTAAAGAACTCGTCTTACACATATTATCATTATTATTTTTATTATCATTATTATCATTATTATTATTATTATCATTATTATCATTATCATTATTATTATTATTATCATTATTATTATTTATTATTATTATTATTATTTTCTTTGATTTCTTGGCGTTTACACATTTCTTTCCGGTCCCGCCCAGGGACCTAAGGTTAGAAATGGCGTCATGACACCTTTCCACTGACAAAAAAAAAAAAAAAAATACATAGATAAAGCCCTTCGTAATTTGTGGGCTGTACTTGTCAGAACAATTTTTGTATCTCCTTGAGGCATGGAATTCCAGGAATCCCTTCAATTAGTCTACTGCAATCTTTTCCGACCAGTCCCAGGGCTCCAACTTCAACAGGGATTGTTGATATTCCCATATGCCACATTTTCGAGATTTCTATTTCAAGGTCCTTGTATTTTGACAACTTTTTGAATATCTTCAAAGATACATTGCAGTCGGCAGGGACTGCCATATCAATAAGGAGGCACCGTTTTTGTTTGTGGTCTTTAATAACAATATCTGGCCAGTTGGCCTTGATTGTTCTGTCAGTGTGTAATGTGTAATCCCATAGAATTGTAACAGGTCCTATCTCCGTAACCGGGTCTGGGTGGTGTTCATACCAGTTTCTTTCTGTTTTCTTCCCGTAGAAGTTGCAGATTTTTATTATCATTATTATTATCATTATTATTATTATTATAATTGTGTTTTCCTTCGCTTTGTGTAGTACTGGTTGTCGCCAAGTCTCAACCAGACACTTCAAGAGACAAAAGTTTTGTTTTTTTTTTGTATCAGAAGATAGAAACACATAGATGTCATATAATAAAGAAAAATGTGATTATAATTATTGATTCGTCAATTCACGGACCAATGAAAACTTGTTTTTATTTAATCTTTTTCCAGAATTTTTTTTTTACATCAGTTTCCCGTGTCAAATATATCATATTTCAGAAATAAGACAGATTTCCAACACTTTATTTGGCGGTTAATTAGGGTGTTTTTATAGTTAGAAAACTGAACATTAACTTATTGCTCCTCTGTTTTAACCACACAATATTACACTCCTTGGAACTTTTCTACAAGGCCCAAGAGTCACATGAAGTAGTATATTTCAGAGAAAGAGTAAAAATGTAAGGAATACACGAAGAATTAAGTATGAAATCAGATCAATTCATCCGTAGTTCTATACAAAGCTATTAACTTACATTTGATCTTAAATGTTTTCGGTATAATGTGCAAGTCATGTGATTATTATTTTACAGAAGTTTCGTAAAAGAAGAAGATTGTAGTGGAAATGATTCAGGTTGTGACGTTATTGACTTATATAAGCATGTATGAGATATGTTATTTATAGGCAAATTTTACAAATATCTAACTCTCGCTTTATCTTGATACAGAGGAATTTACAACATGCAATAGATAGATAAATAGATAATGAATCGACTGAGACATATAGATATGGACTGAGATAGATAGATAGATAGATAGATAGATAGATACTGACGGATGTATGAATCGAAATAGATAATGAATTGACTGTGGAACTCAGATATATATCCTGTTGAACTGATATATATATATATATATATATATATATATAATAGTCGACTCTCCCGTCGAATTTGACGTATGAGGATCAAGCAGATCAGTTCCCACGAAAAACCGACTGCCTGACAACAGCACATGAGAGATTTGATTATAATAGTGAAGGCCTTTTGTGCAGAACCATTCAGACACACTTTTGAAGGGCCAAATACAGAGACATGGCGCTCTACGTATATACAAGGTCCGCAGGTTTTGAATCCAGAGTTGTCCTTCTCCTAGACCAGTTGCCATCCAAGGCTATAGAACCCAGTCTGTCCTGCTATTTACCCATAGCTGGAGGGAGAAGAAGAAGATGCACACCTTTCCCAAGGGTTATAAGTACGTAATGAATGTAATATATATATATATATATATATATATATATATATATATATACAAACAAAGAGATATATGTTATATACATAATATATATACATTTAATTATAAATTATAAAAATGCAACAAATAATAATCACATAGAATATATATATATATATATATATATATATATATATATATATATATATATATATATGTGTGTGTGTGTGTTGTTAAATATATTCCTTACATTTTAGAACCTGAATTTTTAAACCTGGAGTGGATTTTTCTCTTTACATTTGGTTTACGGGGTTGAAGTTTTCAAAACCATTTTTTATCGACTTCTATGAAATAAAAATCACTCATGGATTTTAAGTGTTTGTTTTTCATTACATAATAATTATTGCTCTGTCTTTGACAATGCGCTCTCAACAGATTTATATCCCTTGGGAATTCCATACGGATTACCAATAATATCATTAATATATATATATATATATATATATATATATATATATATATATATATATATGCAAACAAGTTTGAATGAAAAGAAATGCTGTCATGGTAAGTTTGTTTAAATTCTTATTGTATTTTTCCACTTATACTACCTGGCATTCAGAGGTATCCCCCCAGATAAAGCTCTGCTGAAGTTCAGAGTCTCGTCTCGGGAAACTGACTCCGTTCTTACGTGGCCTATAGGGAATTTTCTCACACTCCGGCCAGGGATAGCCCACTTTAAGTTTCTGGCTTTTGCCACATCTTGCCGCGTGGCGCAAAGGGCATATAATTAAATAATTACTATAAAAGTAGAGTCGAGTACCTCGAGGTGGTGTAATGGTTGGCAAGTCTGTCTTAGTGGAGCGATTGCGACTGAGTAGGGGGTTCAGTCCTCGGTGGGTGCACTATGCGTTCGGCCTTGTGCCACATCTAAGCTATGCTTGCAAAATCTCTACTTTAAAGTAGAGTTGAGGCTTTTTAATCTCAGAATTTGTGGGAAAATTGAGCTCCAATTTCGCATTAATTCATATAGATTCCATTATATAGGTCTTACTCAATCAGCTATTATGTTTCTCAACACTTCAAATGTTTAACGTATAACTAATTCCAATTTATATTTTCCCATCTTTACACTATATTGATTTTATCGTATAAATTGTCCACTGTTCTCTCACCCATAAAATAAAAATAATTGTACGGAAAATAAGAATCTACAAACATCAAATCGTCTTTAAATTAAGTGGCAGCAGAAGAATTATCGTTGAACTTTTAAAAGGTAGGCTTCAACATTAATTCAATTCTTAAATGCAGCGATCGATTTTGAGTTCTTCTTCAGTTTATTGATGCCTATCGCATTTACTATTGTGATGATGGCTAAAGAAAGTGTCCTCCATAGAAGCTATCTTAAATGCCACTCGATAGGGCGGCTATTAAGCTAGCTACTCAATTTACTCCTCTTGAACGAGGAAAGCAACGATAATGGCTAGTATAATATATTAATATATATTTTAAACTTCATATAATCTGGCAAGCCTGGATCTGACCTCAACGAAAAGCCTTTGAATATGCACACATATGTATATCTGCCTGTCTGTCTTTCTCATTCTTTCTCTCTCTCTCTCTATATATATATATATATAGATATATCGAGGGGCCAATAGGAACTTTAATTCACACACACACACAAACACACACACACACACACACACATATATATATATATATGTGTGTGTGTGTGTTTGTTTGTGTATGTATGTGTGTGTGTTTGTGTGTGTATGTGTGTGTATCAGTGTGTTTGTGTGTGTATGAATGTGTCTCTGAAAAAATGTATGTGTGTGTATGTATGTGTTTGTGTGTATGTATGTGTGTGTGTTTGTGTGTGTATGTATGTGTGTATGTATATGTGTGTGTTTGTGTTTGTATGTATGTGTGTGTAATTGTATGTGTATGTATGTGCGTGTGTTTGTGTATATGTATGTGTGTGTATGTATGTATGTATGTGTGTATTTGTGTGTGTATGTATGTGTGTGGGTGTATTTTTGTGTATGTAAATGTCTTGTATGTGTGTGTGTGTATGTGTGTATTTGATCTGGAAATCTTTATAAACAAAATGCATGCTATATTTGTCCAGTTTCCTCAGAGATAAAATATATCTCCATTTTCTCCAGATATCAACTCAGACGCCATCATCGTCTAAACACTCATTGTACGCATGCGTACAGTCCTGATTGCATTTGTCTGCTTTGAGTGTTTCCGCCATTTTCATGCGACCACAAATAAATATCTGTCATAAAAATCCGAGACAGACAACTAACGCGCACTGGGAGAGTAATGTTTTCTACTTTTCTGCTATTAGCCAATGGGGAATAGATTTTAAAATCGTGTAACTTCTGCCGGGAATGCAGGATTCTAAAAAATAACATAGATTTTCTTTAACTTTCTCATAAAACATTTTATTTCCATTCTTCCCAAGTTCATGCATTAAAATTTGTTTTTCTCGCTATTCATTCAGTGTTTTTCTTTCATTATGCAACTTTGATAATTGCAGTGACGATCGAAGATCAACTACATTATATATATATATATATATATATATATATATATATATATATATATATATATTTTAATATAAGGTATTTAAAATCTTTATAAATATTTCAATAGTTAAACATTTTTTAGATATAGTTAAAAGTTTTTTATTTTTTTTAAACAACATCTAAAATATTATTACAGTTAGATTTACGTTAGGAATATTCGAACACAGTGGTGTTCCATATCACGTGACGTCCGCGTCTCGCGACGGACGCTACTTGTAAACAAACTAATTTTAATTTATTTGTAACAAACAGTTATTTCAGAAGAAAGATTGAGGTCAATCTGAAATATCAAACATATATATAAATAAATAAATACTTTCATAAAAAACATTATTATTTTTTTTAATTTGCAACTTTTTCTATATATATATATATATATATATATTATAAATTAATTGATTTAAAATATGGTTATTTTCGCTACACAGTTCAAACCATGTTTCAAAAATAGAAGCTAAAAACTCCTAATTTTATTTTTGCAATTAAATTAAAAGCATTAGTTCCATTTCATCTTCAAGCGAATTTTTTATGCTCTGTAAATTTACATTAAGCACTATTTTGTAAAAATAAAATATCTATAAGAACACCGGATTTTATATCTTACTGTTCTTTCTTTTATTTATATATATATATATATATATATATATATATATATATATATATATATATATATATATATATATATATATATATTAAGAAATGGACAAGGTCCGACAATTTATTTTTGAAGACATTTTATGTTTAACGTTGTTATTTTTTTTATAGATACAAGTATTTAAGCAAATGCTCTGTTTATCATAAACAGAGCATTTGCTTAAATACTTGTATCTATAAAAATAACAACGTTAAACATAAAATGTCTTTAATAAATATATATATATATATATATATATATATATATATATATATATATATCTTTACAGGGTGCAATTGGTAAATTGTCGCCTTCTTTTATTTTTTAATTTCGTGTATACGTGTTGTTTTTGATTTTTGTCGTATCCACAGTATAGTAGGTTCCTTGGGCACCTCCTGTGTGAAAAAAGTGCACCATGCCACAAATCACTCCGCGATGGTTACGTCTCCAGAACTCTCAGTGGTCAGAGATTTTGCACGAACAACCCAATGGGGTAAAAACTGGCTGGTTACATTCAATTCCATCATCGCCAATCTGACCCCGAACTATTAGGTTGGTGCAAAAATAATGACGTAATAATGTCGTTTTTTTGACGTTAAAAAATACGTTAAAAACGACACTATTACGTCACTATTTTTGCACCAACCTAATACCACCAATCAGGAGGAATAGAGAAAGCACCATGCCTTGAAAAGATTGTTGGGCCTCAAGCTCACACCCGACCTCAAGTAGAACTCGTACCTACGATCCGTTGCTAAGGATGCAGATAAAAATAGTCGGCTCTCTTTTGTCATATTTGGGCGGGAACTGAACCCTTACGGGTGAAGAATTATTCTCCACTCTTCAACCTCTCTCTCACAGACGGGATGTGTCAAAGTGCTCGGACGAGCTACATTGCCTGCTCCCGCCGAGGCAAACCTTCTTAGTGAGAACACACCTGTCCACATACATTTCTTCCGTATTTCATCGGTGAGAAATAAGTTCCACTCGAGCAGCATCTTCCTACGAACCACTACCCTAAACTTGTTCAAGGATTGGGCTAACTGTTATCTTCCACTCCTATACACACAAATGGCCTCCAAACGTGACCTTCTACCTTGAGTGGCCCCCAGCCTTTTAAAAGTGAACATTGCTGTAAAAAAAAAAACAAACAATAAAAAGAAATTTGGAAAACAGCATGCAGTACTTCTTGGCATTCGCACCGGAAGCTCCAATAGGAACATTTCAGAGTGAACCAGTGGAGAGTGCAGAGTATGAAGAAAGATTTAGATAAGTCTAATTGTGATTACAAAGGTGTTTGAAGTGATCATTAGTGATGGCGTAGTTATGTCTCCATACATCATTCCACATGGCCTCAGACTCAAGA